CGGACGGGAGCGCCGCCCGCCTTCCCAAGCGGCGCACCATCCAGTGCGCCACCGGGCCGGCCCTGCCTTTTTTTTTTAAAAGATGACTGGTAAGGGGATCTTAACCCTTGACTTGGTGTTGTCAGCACCATGCTCGCCCAGTGAGCGAACCAGCCATCCCTATGTGGGATCCGAACCCTCGGACGGGAGCGCCGCCGCGCTTCCCAAGCGGCGCACCATCCAGTGCGCCACCGGGCCGGCCCTGCCTTTTTTTTTTAAAAGATGACTGGTAAGGGGATCTTAACCCTTGGTGTTGCCAGCACCACACTCTCCCAAGTGAGCTAACCGGCCATCCCTATATAGGGATCTGAACCTGTGGCCTTGGTGTTATCAGCACCACACTCTCCCAAGTGAGCCACGGGCCAGCCCTGTAATCTGCCTACTTTACATATATAAGATATACACCAAAGTGTTGAGAGGATATCATTCGTTAATAGAATTTGGTGCTTTTCATCTTTTTTATACAGGCTGAGTGAGTATCCCTTATCCAAAATGCTTGAGACCAAGTGTTTTGCATTTTGAATTTGTTTGGATTCTGGAGTATTTGCATTTTACTTACCATGTAAGCATCCCAAATCCAAAAATCTGAAATCTGAAATGCTCTAATGAGCATTTCCTTTGAGTATCACATTGGCACTGAAGAAGTTTTAGATTTTGGAGGATTTTGGATTTTGGATTTTCAGCTTTGGGATGCTCAACCATATTATCCTCTATAATCAGCATATGTTACTTACACAATAAAAGGAAACAAGCACTAAATAGATGATACCAGAGTTAAGAAAGCAGTGTGTGTTATATCATTAAATTGAAAACCTAATCTATCCTTATCTTCTTAAAGGTAATTAGAACTAGTTGGCATATAGCTTCTTTGTTACATGCTGTGAATACATTAGGATAGAATTTAAACTAATGCTTTTCTCACAGCCATTCCACCTTAGATAATCTGGGACAATAATTTCTCATTATTCAGACACTTGTCTGAAATATGAAATAAATGAACTAATGAGTATATTTATACATTTAAAGAAACATAAATTTATTATTTTCAAACTATATTTTATAACCAATATATAAATGGTCATTGATATGCAAAATAAAGTCAGTTGATAAAAACAATGACAATTCACAACAGGCCTACACCATATATTTTCATACAGCTGCAGAAATCTTTAAACACAAAATCTAATTACTAGAGCCAGAAGTTGAAGGCATATTGAAGGAATCCTTAATATTATGAGGCCTAGTTTTCAAAAAGCTACCAATTCTAGAACAGATTCTACTCTGGAACTGTTTCTTGACTATTTCTTGTTGCATCTCTTTTAGTGTGAAATGGAACCTTTGAAACTCAGGTGTGGCATCAACAAAGTCAAGAAGGTAATCCAAACTCTCTCTTACAGCAGATAACTTAAATTCAGGAGTCTGCTTCTCAGCTCCTCCTCCTTTCTGAGCAACTTCCTTTGTAATCCAACCTTTTGTTTTGGGGGGACAACCCTTTTCTTCATCATCTCCATTTAACCATACCCTATCATCATCCAGCTTGGTTTCCAACTCTCCACATTTTTCAAGAATTTCTCTATAATCCCCATCTTCTAAGCTTTGAAAATCATATTCAGGTTCCTTTTTGTAAAGAAGATTTTCCCATGCATTTGCTATTGTTATTTGTTTTACTTCATCCCAACTTTTTGCCCAATTAAAAATTGCACTTTTTATATTGTAGATTTTAATCTTGGAAACTCCTTTTTCTCCTTTACCTTGCTCTTCATCACTTTCTTCAAAAATTACAAGACTCTCTTCAAGTTGCTTCCATCTATAAAGTCGTTTGCAGCTCAACATCACACCTTGATTCATTGGTTGAATCAAGTTTGAAGTATTATGGGGAAAGAATATGCATTTTATTCGACCATCCTCACTGGTCAGTGATTCAGCAGAAGGGTGAGCTGGGGAATTGTCCAGAAGTAACAATGCCCTGACATCTTCTTCATGGAATCTTAGAACATTAAGTTGAAAATGCCTGACCTCAGGAACAAAGTTTTGAAAGAACCATTCTGAAAACAATTCTCTGGTGAACCAAACATCTTTACTAGGTTTATATATCACAGGTAATGTACTTGTGTCCTCTTTCACACTTTTGGGCAGCTTTGATTTTCCGATAATGATTGACTTTAACTTATGAGTTCCATCTGCATTTGCACATAAAAGGGCAGACAACCGTTCTTTGTTTATTTTCCTCCCTGGTAGGCAGATATCTTTTCTACTTGCCTGACTGTTTTCTGGCATTGATTTCCAAAATAGGTCAGTCTCATCTCCACTGTACAGCTGAGCTAGATGCAGTTTCTCCTCTTTGATTATCATGGACAGTTTTTGTCGAAAAGGCTCAACATTTTCTGAAGCTGAACTTAGGATTTGTTCTCCACACACTTTTCTGTTCCCAATTGCATGCCTATTGCGAAATCTAAAAAGCCAACCAGTGCTAGCTTTAAAGTCTGTTCGCCCAAAACACTGTGCGAATTTCTCTGCAGCAGCCTGAAGCTCCACACCTCTAACAGGGACACCAGCTGAGCGTTTCTGTTGGTACCACATGTAGACCGCATCATCTACATCACCATATTTGGCTCCCGTCGTCCTCTTTCTCTTCTCAGCCCCTACTAATGGCATATCTTGCTTTAGTACAAAGTCTAAAATCAATTTCTTATTCTTTTTAATGTCATAAAATGTTGACTTACTGATCCCAAATTCATCCATTACACTTTTAAGAGATCGTCCAGCTTCTATCCTACTTAGAACCTTCATTTTCTCCTCCAAATTCAGTGTTGTGTACTTTCCTCTCTTATTCATACTGAATTCGACTTCAAAAAAACCAACACGAGAAAAGAAAGGGAAAAGCCTTACTGAATTGGAAAAAAATTAAAAAACAAAACTAGCTCAAAGCCGCAGAAAGCACAGACATTAGTGTGGGAGGGTAATGGGCTAAAAGGGATAAGAGATCATGACTGAAGCGCTAATCTAGAGGTAAAGGTCTTAAGTATTCAGAAAGCTGCCACTACCAAAGTCCCGTCTGGACTTTGTTGCTCCTGCAAGACATGGGTGATCAGTTTTTAGAACCCTCCTGCTCCTTTTCCTCTTCCTGTCAGGAATAACCTGCATACTTTCCCTAACTCAAAACAGGAAAAGGGACAAAATGAAGAGGGGAGGCACTGAGCGAGACGTGCCCACAAGAACAGACCCAGGTGGGATAGTCAATAAAAAGTAATGCTTGAGAAGAGGTGCGAAAGATTCAAATGACAGAGTAATTTTTTGTTGCAGAGATGCGGCTTCTCCACTATACTACATTACACTACAGAGTACTTCTACACTAGAGTGCGGCTTCTCCCTTTCCAAAACAACCTGTTTTTACCTCACTGCCAGAAAAGAAAATGGTGCTTATATTGCTCTGCACATAGTGTTCACTGGGCAACAATTCATATACCTGGATAAAGACTCCAAGGTATAAGGACTCTGACATTGGGATGTCTGGAGAGCTGGAATTTGGGACAGTTGTATAGAATCTTGAAGTGAAGAAGGAAGTTAGTAGGTTCTGTTGTACATATGAATAAAATCCAACTTTTACTGCATTCAGTGTAGCATTCTCAGAGACTGAGCTTTAACCTGACTGTCTCATGTTTGCAAAGGTAATCCGTAAGTATGTTAATAATTTATTTATTAGTGGCACTTTCAGATCTTCTTCCTTGGGTACATCTGATGTATTTTCAAGTGTTATTTTTCACTGAAACTGTACCATATTTGGGATATTATCAAGTTTCAGAATCATGGCAATTCTTAGAGATGAGCCCAAAATTTTAGAAATATTTTTACCATAGTTAAAAATTTAAAAGACCTCTCCTTTGTTTTCCTAAGTTTACATCAGTGTGTTAAGTAACATACTTTTCATATTTGAGACTTTATTTGATTTCTCTTCAGTGCAGATTTTACTTAATTTGAACCAAGACTCAACTTTTCCACTGCTTGAAGAAATTTAAACGGTTTCTCTACTGGCGTTTCTGATCAATTGTTTCTCATAAATTTCTTCTGTTGGAAAACTCTTCGATAGTTCTGTGCCCTCATATATTTCTTCCAGGTCTTTCTGGTGCTGCCCAAAGCCATTCCAGGTCCTTAGAAATGTTCTACTCTAGATTAATTTCATGGTTCTCATTCCAGATACACAACCTCATGGGAAGAAACAAAAACTGCCACTTTTATCCATTCCAGGTGCTAAGAAGAAAGAAAAGTATGTCAGAGAAGTGAGGAAAATGATGGGTATCTCAGATATTCTTTCTCTCCTTTAGGGCAGAGCATGACTGCCTCATTCATTCCCCAACTACAGAGAATTCTTTAAGTCTCTCATCTAGGAACCCAGAAGGTCAGATCGTTGGTTTTCCTTTACCATTTGTTGTGAGAAATGCCAACCTTGGGTTATGGAGCACTACGAGGATAGTGAAAGAATATAATATTGTACTGGCCAGCCACCAAAAAGAAAGAATATGGATAGTAATTAGGATGTGGAGCCATTGACAGACCAAGACTGAGTAACTTTCTGAAAGAGGGAGCTAAGGCAATTACTAAGTGGTAACTATTATAAATGGAAGAAGGAAAAAAATAAAGGGTATGTGTTAGCCAATAGCACCACCATTAACTCCAGCCAGTCACCCAGCAAAAACACTCAGTCCACTATGGAGGTTGTGTGGATGTCTCAGAACTAACTCGAAGTATTTGCTTTCATTGTTTCCCAGCTGTACATTCATCATTTATAAACAGTGCCCAAGCAAGGGGAGGTGATATCAAAAGGAAAGACTCAGGAAACTTTAGTGGGCTCCACAGGAAGGGTAAACAATTATGGCACCAAACCTCACTCAATGAAAATCATGACTGACCTTCATTTACTATTCACCATTTGTGCCTTGCTTCCTCTTCTTCTTTCCACAGAGTCTCTTTTCCCACTTTCTTCTCCCCTTAACCAACTCCCTACCTGTGCTATGAATCAGGCCTACCAATGACATCCAAGGGCACTGCTTGGCAGTGATGGCAGAACTTCACTTATTCAGCTTAATAAATTTTAATTATATGTTCAGCATTGGGCCAAGTAATGAGAATCTTTTTTTTTTTTTCCTTTTTGTCTTTTTTCGTGACCAGCAACGGATCGCAACCCTCAGTGTCGCGCCCGTACCAGACTGGGACCGGCAATGGGATCGCAACCCTCGGTGTTGCGCCCACACCTCGCTCAGCCAGTGAGCGGCCAGTCTGTACGTGGGATCCGAACCCTTGGCGGGAGCGCCGTCGCACTCCCAAGTGTATTTTATTTTATTTTATTTTATTTTTTTCCTTTTTTGTCTTTTTTCGTGACCAGCAATGGATCGCAACCCTCAGTGTCGCGCCCGTACCAGACTGGGACCGGCAATGGGATCGCAACCCTCGGTGTTGCGCCCACACCTCGCTCAGCCAGTGAGCGGCCAGTCTGTACGTGGGATCCGAACCCTTGGCGGGAGCGCCGTCGCACTCCCAAGTGGCGCACTGTAGCAGTGCGCCACCGGGCCGGCCCAAGTAATAAGAATCTTAATGCTAGGGGCATTACTGTCCACTTGTTCTGAGAGACTGGGAACAATAATTGCTTTTGGAGAAATTAAGTCCCAAAGCGACTGAGATTCTAAGGAAATGAACCTGCTTTGACACATTCAAGTGACTTAAGCAGATGCTCATTACTGTTCCTGTTTAATCTCTTTCTCTCATTTAAAAAGGATCAGGTCTATGCTTAAGAGGAGTATGATACCATTCTATCCAAAAGCAAAAATATCATAATGTCCTGGTTATGGCCTCTCATCTTCATTCTCACCTTAAACTTACCTCAGATGAACAGCCTTAGAAAGAAGCTCCACCAAAAACCCTCAAATGGTGCCTGCAGGATTTACTTTCTTTTTTTTTTTTTTTAAAAAAGATGACCGGTAAGGGGATCTCAACCCTTGGCTTGGTGTTGTCAGCACCACGCTCAGCTAGTGAGCAAACCGGCCATCCCTATATAGGATCCGAACCCGTGGCCTTGGTGTTATCAGCACCGCACTCTACCGAGTGAGCCACGGGCCGGCCTAGGGTTTACTTTCTTAAATGCAATCTTCTCATTCCCATTCAAAGAACTCCAGGATAAGGTCCACATAAACTTATTTTCTAACTTTTTAAACTCTTCCTCTAAATGTAGCCCAATTTAGTAAAAATGTACTACAGATCTTACACACTAATGTTTCCAGCTTTCAAGCCTTTGCTCTTACCCTTCCCTGTGCCTGGAATATGTCCCCACTTCCTGCTGTGGACAAAATTTCTCAAGGTCTTTAATAATCTTCCCCAACCCCAAATCAACTTTTATTTCCTTGCAGTTCTCACAGCATTCAGTTTACGTCCTATTTTTACTACCTTGTGTTACTGATATTCATGAAATTGCCTCAGTCCTTTTACTAGATTGCTATTCAACTCTGTAACACTGGCTACACATAGCCGAGTTAATAAATAATCCCTTGACACTGATAATCTGGAGATCAACAACAACCCGAAATGCTCAGATTCTCATAAATATGATCTCGTAAATATTTATGAAATGCCTGTCTTGCCCAAGTGCCTATGCTAGACACGCAGGAGACTAGAGTTCAAGATGAAAACAACGTTCCCATCTTCCAGGGAAGCATACAGTAGTGGAAAAAGCAGAAGACAGGACAACAGGAGACCGACACTGCAGTTTCTGCAGTTTCGCAGCTGCCACTGGTGAACTATGTGGCCCTGAGCAAGTCACTCCTTAGATCTCGATTTCTCTATCAAGGAGAAATACAAGAGGAGCCTACCTCATAGGGTGACACCTGCCTCACAGGAAAAAAACCTAATGCTTGCGAGGAAAGCACCATGCGACCCAGCAAACGGTACAAAACCCTCGGGTTGTTCCTGACCTAGCGAGTGGTCTGACCGGGACAAAACTGCCTCTTCCTCGAGGAGGCTGCGACAAGCCCAGCGACGACAGCTCGCGCATGGCCGGCTGGGATGTGCCAGGCCGACGGCTCAGCGCGCGCAGTGGGGAGGCGGCCCCTCGACACCCGGGCGGCGACCCTTACCGGGCGGGGCTCCCGGTTACCAGAGCCGCTGCCGGCCGCCCGAAAGCGACGCAGAAACGATGTGGACACACGACGCCTCCTACGGCGGGGACACGAGACGGCGATACCCACGCGATGAGACGCGAGAAGGGCCCTTCTAGGCTTCGGCGGCCTGGAGACTCGGTGGCATTAACTCTTTGTTGCCTCCAGGGCTGAACCGGGGCTGGCGGCCAGTCCCTGTAGGTGGGAAGACGGTGCTAGCGTTTGCTAACGCGGCCGGGCTGACGCTCCTCCGCGAGAGTACTGGTGTCGGCGGGGGGGCTGCGCGACACCCCCCGGAAGCGCGTCACTTCTGCTTCCGGTCGGTGAGCGGGCTCCTGGGCGTGGCCGGGGAGCCCGCGGGTCGGCGTACTGTCGAGCGGAGGCTGAGAAGAGGGGTCTCGTGGGCGCCGGTTGGTGCAGGGCTCTGCGCTCCGAACCTCTGGGGCTCCGCTCGCCGGCCCCGCCTCCGAGCGGCGCTGGGCCAACAGCTGCGCTCCTCAGAGTGGCGGCTCCCAGCTGAGCCCGAGAAAGCTGGAAGCGGCCTCCGCGGAATCCGAGCTGTCCGAGGTAACCGAGAAGCTGCTTCCCCTTTGGCTTCGGCTCCGGAGCCCGCTGAGCGGCAGCTGCTGCTGCGAGGTGGGCGTGGGAGGCAGCCTTTTCCGTCGGCGGCGGCTGCGGCGTTTCCAGGCCAGGCGGCCCGAGCCTGCGGCGGGGCCGGCGGGACTGGTTCGAGCGAGGCCGGCGTCAGACGCTCCGGAGCCCGCGGAGCGGCAGCTGCTGCTGCGAGGTGGGCGTGGGAGGCAGCCTTTTCCGTCGGCGGCGGCTGCGGCGTTTCCAGGCCAGGCGGCCCGAGCCTGCGGCGGGGCCGGCGGGACTGGTTCGAGCGAGGCCGGCGTCAGACGCCGGAGGCCGTTCTCTCTGCCCTTTGCGCGGGAACAGCCCAGGGCCGCGGCTGAGGCTCGCTGGGACACCCCTGGGCGCGCCTGTCGCAGACGCAGGCTGTGGCGAAGCCGCGCGGGGGCGGGCGGCGGCGCCTAGCCAGCGCGCGGAGAAACTTTCCCGCTCCCGCTGGCGTTTTCGTGGCCGGCCGATGTTTCCGGGGGAAGAGGGTCAGTTCAGCTTCAGCAATAGCTCCTGCTTATGCAGAAATAGAGGAAGTGTCCCCGTGTTCTCGGAGCCGGGGCGGCCAGCATGGACCGGCCGTTTCGTTGAATACCCGTAGCATCCTGGGCAGAATTTCGGTGCCCCTTCTGCTGGTTCACTTCAGTCTCACTTAGAGGTCCAAATGACTCTTGAAGAACTATAACGTCAGCAAGTCACCCACTCCCATTCTCTCCTTTTTTACTACTTGATATTTTGTAAACAAAGGCCAGCTGTAATTTTTTCCAAGGCCAAGCAAACAAAAATTTAATTTGTATAAATCATCGGCATAGTGTCTGTTATATATCTTACAAAGAAAATGACGAGCTTATAGTTGCTTAGTTGGGAGATCCTTACTGAGAAGAGTAAGGCTACTTTTTCCTTACTTCTACCTAGGTCTCACTGTCTCAGCTCTCCTGGCAGTATTCCTGCAGTGGAAAGGGGACTATCAAATGTTCCGTGAAGCGAAGGCTTTACAAGAGGATGATGGGTCGTAGAAATTGTACCCCCTTGCTAAAGACAGACCGGGGTGATGTTAACATTTAAGAGAAACTCAAAATGTTCATCTAATCTTACTTCCTCCTACTCTTCCGTTATAGGGTAGATGGGATAGAGGTACACAAATTATCTATGGATAATGCTCCCTTCAGCCAGCAGGTGCCAATTTTCTCACACTCACGTTTCCTGAATTTTTTTTCAAGAAGGCAAAGTCACTAAATAGCATTTATCTTCTCTGAGCTGTGCTTCAATTGAATAACAGAGGAGAGAAACAAAGGGCCTGGCAGTTGATTTTAAAAGGAAGGCAGGGGCCACCCATGGCTCACTCGGGAGAGTGCGGTGCTGATAGCGCCGAGGCTGCGGGTTCAGATCCTATATAGGGATGGCCAGTGTGCTCACTGGCTGAGCGTGGTGCAGACGACACCTAGCCAAGGGTTGCGATCCCCTTACCGGTCAAAAAAAAAGGAAGTCAGGACGGGACCATTTCTGTTTATTTTTCTCTCATAATAAGTAGCAAGTAATAAGGTTTGTGTGACTTTCTTATTGACATGTTCCTTTTTTCTACCCTCAGTGCTCTTAGGAGGAAGATCCTTTTATTGATTTTGTACCAGACCAGACTGGACCTCACTTGTTAAAGGTGGCACCAGTCAGGTGTCAGACACAGGAGGAAAACTTCCTAGAGCAGAATGATGGTCGTAGATCTGAAGGTGGTTGAGTATTTGGACCCTCAGATCAAGGCTCTATGGGACACCAAGGGGCCTGTGAGAGAGAGCTCCAATCAGAGTGAAAAATCACAAATGGACAGTCTCAGTCCCAAGAGCCCTCACTGGCACTTCAGGAACTTCCACTATCGTGAAGTAGCTGGACCACGTGAGGCTGTCGGCCAGCTTCAGGAATTATGCCACCTGTGGCTGAGGCCAGATATCCACTCAAAAGAGCAGATATTGGAACTGCTGGTGCTAGAGCAATTCCTGACCATTATGCCCAGGGAGACACAGACCCAGATGCAGAAGCACCAACCACAGAGCATTGAGGAGGCTGTGGCCCTGGCAGAACACTTGCAGAGGGAATCTGGTCAAACGAGGAATGGGGTGAGAAGATTCCTGACATTCACAGTGAAATAGAATAAAGGTGGATACAGTGGGGGTGGAGGAAGTTAATCAAGAAATGAGATGAATTAGGTCACTATTCTGTTGTTCCTTTAGGACAATTAAGGTGAGACTTGAAACTACAGGCCTACACCTAAAAGCCCACAGGTTTCAGAGTTTGTGGCAGAGACTTCCCTTGCCTTAGAAAAATAGTTGCTTTTTGCCTTCTTTGGAGCCAGGGTGAATTGAGAGTAATGGGCCTAGTCTGGCTTTGCCAAGGAGACAGGACTTGAGCTCTTAGAAACAGAATTAAAAGGCAATAAAGAGGGAGGAGAGGGAAGATCTGGAAAAGGGAGAACATTAAGACCAAATGAGAGCAAGGACAGTAAGTAGGAGAAATCAAACAACTAGGGGAAGACTACAAAAGGAGAGAAAAAGTAGAAAGAAAAGGAAACAAAGCTTTAGGAAAGAAAAATCCCAACAGCGTAGCCAACAGAAGAAAGACAGGGATAGTGTCCTCCCCACCGTCAGCAAGAGCCTCCACTGCCCTTCCTTAGTGGTTGATCCTTGGCTCTGCTGGCGAATGGGGAGCCAGAGTATACCCTTTGGCACATGGCAACACACCTTCTGGCCTCAGGCCTATTGTGAAAAATACAGGGAAGGATATATGTTTGTTGTCAAAATCATTTGGATGTAGGTTGGAGCCACTCTTCCTCACCCCTTTTTTCTCTATTCTATCCCCATTCTCTGTGAAAATCTTTCCTGGCCATAGGGAAGATCTGGCTAACCACGTTTATTATACATTAAACAGTAGGTTATACATTAAACAGTTTACAGATTTACCAACTGTTTTCCCACTGCATAACAAGGGTTGTCTTTTTCCAGCCTCTAATAAAACCAATCTCTTATCCATCTACTACCCCTGAAGCCAGTGCTACATATTTTAGTTTGGTGTAGCAACACCCATTTCTAGACACCAGTTGTTTTGTTAGTCAGCTTTTGTTCCAGTAGCAACTCCCAAGTCATAGCAAGTAACAAAAGCCATCCATGTGATATGGTAGCTGGGGCAGTTAGTCATGGCCCCACTCCAGGCAGCATATTGACTGTGAGTCTGTATCACATCTTATTGTTGTAAGACTTTGACTGAAGGAGCAACCCCTATCTGAGAGGATATATGTTCTTCTTAAGGCAGAAGGCAGTAGTAACAAAGGCGCAAAGCCGAACCATGCAATTGCATTTAAAGCTTCTGTTGGGACATGGCATATACCATGTTTCTCGTATAACTTCGTATAATGTATGCTATACGAAGTTATTTCCCGCGCCTCGCTCAGCCAGTGAGCGGGAACTGGTCTGTATGTGGGATCCGAACCCTCAGACGGGAGTGCCGCCGTGCTTCCCAAGCGGCGCACTATCCAGTGCGCCACCGGTCCGGCCCTTGTTTCAGTTTCTTAATTTTAGAGAAAACTAGAAGACAGAAAACCACTACGGCAGGGATCTAAGTCAAAAGAAAAGGCCTAGCTGGCCTTTTAGCTCAGTTGATTAAAGCATGGTGCTGATAACACCAAGGTCCAGGGTTTAATCCTTGTACCAGCCAGCAAGAAAGGAAAAAAAACGCATGAGAAGGCAGCATGAGAATAGGCAGCCTGCCAACCCTGCTAGTGACCTGTGACCTGAGCTGGACTGTATGCAGAGGGGTGAAGACTGCTGTGTTAGAGAGTGGACAATAGCCATACCTTTTTTCCTTTTAATTTTCCCAGATTTATGGGTAGTACTTTGTTGAACCTCGGTGGCCTAATATCTCTTTAAGTCCTTTTGTCATTTCCTTTCATGTCTCACACATCCCACAATCTGGGCCATACAATTGCTCCACTGTCCCCACCCCACCCCGCAAAAAACCAAATGTATGTTCTGTGGTAACAAGGATGGGGATTATTTCTAGGTTGCAATCCATGAGCTGGGAAAGGAAGCAGTGCTCTTGGGAGAAACAGCAGAAGCTCCAGGCTTCAAGGTGAAGCCAGCAGAGTCCCAGACAGTGGTCATGTCCCTGGATGAAGAATTTTGGAATACATGCCAGGGTCTACAAAAACAGCTGAGCAGGAATACTCATAAAGAAACTGAGCCTGTATATGAGAGGGGTAAGGAGCTTCATGATAATTTTCTTCTGGGAGCAGTGATAGTTCAGCCAGAATGTCATGGGTATTTTCTGAGCACCCAGCTCTTGTGGATCTGTAAAAGCAGCTGTGATAGCAATTATGATGTCCCCCCAGGAACACTAGAGTGCACCAACTGTGGGTAAAGGTAGGGATTAGCCTAGGGTATAGAAATATCCCAACCACAGAACCCTGGTAATAACACCATCAATTCTGTTCCTTTTAAAAGTGGAGAGGAGGGAAAGAAACGGAGCAGAAAGGATTGGGGCCACGTCATTCTTATAAAATACGGAAAGAATTGGGATCAGAAATGGGCTGTTAGTGGCAGAATGTGAAGACAGTTGTGTACCAGGAAAAAAATAAAGACAAAAAACTTCATCTCCTACTGTACACTGGAGTCCCTGAGTACCTCATTTTCAAATACCTTTATTTTTTGCCAAACGCAGAACAATTTAAGTCATGAAAGGAAAAAAGGGATTTTCTTTTATTAATTTTTCTCATGAAAACTGAGGAAACAGTGAACTGGAGAACTGGTTCTCGGGGCTGATAGATAATTGGTTTTATTTCTCAGACAGCTACTTCTGGCATCACACACAACACTTGTAAAGGTATCCAATCTCTATTGAAAGAATTGGGATCTGTATTTTAGAAATGAGCTCAAGATTTTCATAGACATGAGAAATTTCCTCTGACTCTTTTCCACCCACAGCTGTGCCTGCTCAACAGATTCTAGCCTTTCCTGAGCAGACAAACACTAAAGACTGGACAGTGACCCCTGAGCTCGTCCTGCCTGAGTCCCAGGTGAGCTGTGCTTTCTAGCTGCCCAGGGCTGCCTTTCCCTGCTGCCCATGATTCATACTGCCCAGGAGGTGCTCAGAGGCATTTTAGCCCCAGTTGTTCTCTCCTGGGGAACTGAGCAGCTCCCAGCTGTTTGCTGGTGTCTTGTCTCCCTCTGCCTTCTCACTTTTTAGTATATGAGGATACTTCAAAAAGTTCATGGTCAGATTTGTATTGTCTTGTGTTTTTGTTTGTTTGTTTGGCAGCTGGCTGGTACAGGGATCTAACCCTGGACTTTGGTGTTATCAGCACCATGCTCTAACCAACTGAGCTAACCGGCCAGCCCTGTCTTTTAATTCTGTTGTTCCACAGACTTTTTGAAGTATCCTTGTAATCATGTACTGCTAATTTCTTTTTTTCCTGGCCTGCTGTGTAGCTCATAGCCAGGTTGTCAGGCTGATTCTGAAGTGGCAGGTACTAAGCTGAAGTCCATTCTCTTCTCTAGAGCTTGTTGACATTTGAAGAGGTGGCCATGTATTTTTCCCAGGAAGAATGGGAGTTACTGGATCCCACTCAGAAGGCCCTCTACAATGATGTAATGCAGGAAAACTATAAGACTGTCATCTCTCTAGGTAAAGATTCTCACTTCTCTTTGTGTAGAAGTTGACTAATCTGTCCTGTTCTCAGCTTACTGAGAAAAAAGCCTTGTGAGAGAACCTCTGTTCCAGTAGCTGGTTGGTTCTTGGGTAGGTAGGGGTGTGGGAGGGTGAGCTGTATCCAGGTCACTTGGGGAGCTTTTTCCAAATTCACATGCTCATTCCTTGTCCTAAAATTCTTTATCCCTTCCTCTCACTCCTCTCCAAATTTGCTCTTCTTATGTCTTGCCTGTCTTGGTAAAGGGCACCACCATTTACCCAATGTCTCAGGTCAAAAAACTTGTCCTTTACTCTGGTCTTGCTGTTATCCACCATGACCAATTCATCACTAGTCCTCTTAGTTCTATCTTCAGAATACAGCTTGGGACCAACCATGTCTGTTAGCATCCTGGTCTAAGCCAGTGTCATCTCGAACCAGGTCTACTTGAAGAGCTTTCTAACAAGCACCCCCGACTCCACTCTTGCCCTACCACAGTCTGTTTTCCACACAGCAGCCAGAGAGATCTTTTTTAAAAAAAACTTATTTATTATGAATATTCATGAGATACAAAGCAGATTGTCCCCCCTCCTGCCCATGATGTGAGGGCCAGATTCATACTAGGGGCATACCCATTACCAGAAATTACTTTTGTACCCTTTGTCCCCTCCCAAGTATCCCCCAACCTCCCTCCCCCTCTCCCTCTCCCCTCCACTCCAATTTGTAGCCCTAGGAATGTTCCCTCCCTCTGTTGGATCACGGCACTACTATGGTCTTTCTTTCCTGCCTTACTTTCTCTCTTAGCTTGCACATATGAGTGAGCACATGCAGTATTTATCCCTCTGCTTTGCTTGTTTCATTCAACCTAAGTTTCTCCAGATTCATCCATGTTGTTGCAAATGGGAGTATTTCATTATTTTTTATGGCAGAGTGGTAGTCCATAGTGTATATATACCACAGTTTCCTTATCCAATCATCTATTGATGGACATTTAGGTTGGTTCCATATCGCCTATTGTAAACAGAGCTGCAATAAACATGGGAGTGCAGGTATCTCTTTCACATGATGATTTCCATTCCTCTGGATATATACCCAGAAGAGGGATTGCTGGATCATATGGAAGATCTATCTGTAGTTGTTTGAGAAAACTCCAGATTGTTTTCCCAAGTGGTTGTACTAATTTACAGTCCAATCAACAGTGCAGTAGTGTTCCCTTCTCTCCACAACCTTGCCAGCATTTGTTATTCACCGTCTTTTTGATTATAGCCAGTCTAACTGGAGTGAGGTGGTATCTCAATGTAGTTTTAATTTACATTTCCCTGATGACAAGTGAAGTTGAGCACTTTTTCATGTATCTGTTGGCCATTTGTATGTCTTCCTTTGAGAAATATCTTTTCAGCTCTTTTGCCCATTTTTTAATTGGGTCATTTTTTTTTTTTTTACTATATTGCTTGAGTTTTATGTATATTCTGGATATTAGTCCCTTGTCGGATGCATAGTTGGCAAAAATTTTCTCCTACTCTGTAGGCTGTCTTTTCACTCTGTTGGTTGTTTCTTTTGCTGTGCAGAAACTTTTTAGTTGTTTATTTTTTCTTTTGCTGCTTGAGCTTTTGGGCTCATGTTCAGAAAGCCTATGCCCTGACCTAACTGCTAAAGTGTTTCACGTATATTTTCCCTTAGTAATTTTACAGTTTCAGGTCTTATACCTAGGTCTTTAGTCCATTTTGATTTGATTTTAGTGTATGGTGAGAGGTGCATATCTAGTTTCATTCTTCTGCATATGGATATCCAGTTTTCCCAGCACCACTTGTTGAAAAGGCAGTCTTTTCCCCAATGTAGATTTTTGTTGCCTTTGTGTAATATCAGATGGCTATAAGCTTGAGGAGTGATTTCTGGGTTCTTAATTTTACTCCACTGGTCTGAATGTCTATTTTTATACCAGTACCATGCTGTTTTGGTTACAACAGCTTTGTAGTATAATTTGAAGTCAGGCAGAGTTATGCCTCTGGCTTTGTTTTGTTTTCTCAGGATTGCTTTCACTATTCGGGGTCTTTTGTTTTTCCATATGAAAGGTAAGATTGTTTTTTCCATTTCTGTGAAGAATGTCATTGGTATTTTGATGGGGATTGCATAGAATCTGTAGATCGCTTTGGGTAGTATAGACATTTTCACAATGTTAATTCTTTCAATCCAAGAGCGTGGAATATCTTTCCATCTTTTTGTGTCTTCTTTAATTTCTTTCAGAAGTGGTTTGTAATTCTCATTGTAGAGGTCTTTCACCTCCTTGGTTAAATTGATCCCTAGGTATTGTATTTTTTTGGTGACAATTGTAAATGGGCTTACTTTCTTTATTTCTCTTTCTGTTAATTCATTATTTGAGTATATAAATGCTACTGTTTGGGGGGCATTTATTTTATATCCTGCAACGTTACTGAAATTATTAACCAGCTCTATGAGTTTTTTGATAGAGTCTTTAGGTTTTCCTATTTATAGTATCATGTCATCTGCAAAGAAGAAAAGTTTGACATCATCTTTTCCAATCTGGATTCCCTTTATTTCTTTCTCTTGCCTGATTGCTCTAGCTAGTACCTCCAGTGTTATGTTGAATAAAAGTGGTGAGAGTGGACATCCTTGTCTTGTTCCTGTCCTTAAGAGGAAGGCCTTCAATTTTTCCCCATTCAGAATAATACTGGCAGTGGGCTTGTCATAAATGGCTTATATTGTGTTAAGATATTTTCCTTCTATGCCTAATTTGTTGAGAGTCTTTATCATGAAGTAATGTTGAATTTTGTCAAATGAAATGCTTTTTCAGTCTTTGTCCTTGAGCTTGTTGATGTATGTATCACATTTACTGACTTTTGTTTGTTGAACCAACCTTGCATCCCTAGGATGAATCCCACTTGATTGTAGTGAATAATTTTTTTAATATGTTGCTGTATTCTAATTGCTAATATTTTGTTGAGGATTTTAGCATCTAGGTTCATCAAGGATATTGGCCTACAATTTTCTTTTTTTGTTGTGTCTTTTTTTTTTAATTTTATTTTGTCGATATACAATGAGGTTGATTATTATGGCCCATTACCGAAACCCCCCTCCTTCCTCCCTCTCCCCCCTCCCACCCAACAGTGTCCTTTCTGTTTGCTTGTTGTATCAACTTCAAGGAGTTGTAGTTGTTAAGTCTCCCCCCCCACCCCCCGATTTTGTGTGTGTGTGTGAATTTATTTATTTATTTTTAGCTCCCACCAATAAGTGAGA